AAAGGACTGGCCAACCGTGCATTCTTTTGTTGGAAAGTTTCGATAAAACTATGGATGAACAGATTATTAGTGGATCTTCAGGGACAGGAGCAGGAGAATTTGGCAATGTGCCCATTGTAACGGGATTTATGGGTATGATCCCATGTTTTTCGAATCTGCCAGGAGACACCTTAGATGTGAGTCGATTTTTCGAAACCGTCGAGGACACAGCGTTATTGGCAAGTTGGGACGAGAAAGTGAAGGTCAACGTGGTTCGTGCTCGCCTAAAAGGAGAGCCTTTGTCTGTGTTTTTCGACTTGCGGGACCAGGGCGTCAGAAGCTATGATGAAATCAGGAGAGGACTTATAAAATGCTTTGGTCGTAAGGAAAAGGAACAAAGCCCCTTTGATCAAGTATTAAAGATATCCCAGAGAAGAGGTGAGAAAGTTTATGAATATGGGATTAATATATATATATTTATTTATATATATATATATATATATTTATATATATATATATATATATATATGAGAGCCGGACTTTACAAAAGTTTTTGAGAGAAAAATTTCGTCTTTTGAATGCTAATTTAGTTCAAATCCCAGCAAAAACAAAATTTTCAATTTAATTACTGGAGGATGATTGCATCTCTCACCCCAGAGTCACTTCCTTTCCCAGGAGGCTCATCAAATGTTTCACCGGGAACTAACTACAAATATTCACTATTTGTCGAAATTAGTGACATGGCTAAAATGAGGGCATTGAAACCAAAGGGGGAGGACCCCCAATATAAAAGGATTGAATCGAGGATAAGAAGGTTTTCAGGAGTCTGAGAGTTCGCTGACCTCCTCTTCATGTGAGTGCTCCATTGCCGATCCCTTCAACCGCCCTTTACCGATAGATGCCTTAGCAATGACCATTTGATAGTGAATTGTACCATGAAGGAGCTTAACTCTACCTAACCTAGCTGAAACCTCTTCACCCTATCAGGATATTTTGCAACTTCAAGACTTTGATCAAGGACCGATCAAGGTACTTAGCATCAGTAATAATGTAAGCTCTCTCTTAGCTAAGAACACCGTTAATTCCATATCTACTAGTATAAAGTCCAATAGATTATGTTACATTGTATCCATATTATCCAGTATGTTATGCTACTAGAGCTCCTCTATTTTTCCACTAAATAAAAGTTAAATGGAGTGTTATTGTAAACATATGTGTAAATAGTTTACAGGATGTATGTACAGTACTTTTTTGTGCATCATTTTTTGGAACATATCTATCATGCAAAAAGAGGAATAGTATATATGTTGTTATTATTTTTGACATAGAAACATGCTAATGAAAAGATTAAGCAAATTTTCTTAAACAAATTTAAAATAATTTGTGTATTATAATCAAACTTTGTTATTGTTATCAATTGTGATAATTACATTTGAAGAAAATGATAAGAATTCTTAGAAAATTCATACTAAATGGACTTTTTCTTCAAAACTTACTTTCAACCAAAGCATACATTATTTTACATACTGTAAGGACATGACAAGAATTCTTAGAAAATGTATTGTAGATCTTTACTTGAAGTGTATCTTTGGGAATTAACATTCCTGTTATGACTTACTTTAATTTTGTGATCTGTTGAGTTAAAACAGTTGTTTGTAAGAAATGTAGCATATATAAATGTGTAATGTTGTATTAAGTGTACACATTCATACTATAATTGTTGGTAAAAAATTTAATTTAATAATGAAAATTTTTTATCCTCTGTTTAATGTTATCAGCCAGTTATTGTTATCAAAAGTTGAAATCCCAAGTGATCATAATTCCATTGCATATATAGGGGAGATCGGGGCAAGATCGGCATGTTAAGCTTTACTTAAATTTTGTGTAATAAATACTGCTGTAAACTGAAAAAAAAGCTTTGCATATTGTCTATTGGAATGTTACCTTACTNGCATCAGTAATAATGTAAGCTCTCTCTTAGCTAAGAACACCGTTAATTCCATATCTACTAGTATAAAGTCCAATAGATTATGTTACATTGTATCCATATTATCCAGTATGTTATGCTACTAGAGCTCCTCTATTTTTCCACTAAATAAAAGTTAAATGGAGTGTTATTGTAAACATATGTGTAAATAGTTTACAGGATGTATGTACAGTACTTTTTTGTGCATCATTTTTTGGAACATATCTATCATTCAAAAAGAGGAATAGTATATATGTTGTTATTATTTTTGACATAGAAACATGCTAATGAAAAGATTAAGCAAATTTTCTTAAACAAATTTAAAATAATTTGTGTATTATAATCAAACTTTGTTATTGTTATCAATTGTGATAATTACATTTGAAGAAAATGATAAGAATTCTTAGAAAATTCATACTAAATGGACTTTTTCTTCAAAACTTACTTTCAACCAAAGCATACATTCTTTTACATACTGTAAGGACATGACAAGAATTCTTAGAAAATGTATTGTAGATCTTTACTTGAAGTGTGTCTTTGGGAATTAACATTCCTGTTATGACTTACTTTAATTTTGTGATCTGTTGAGTTAAAACAGTTGTTTGTAAGAAATGTAGCATATATAAATGTGTAATGTTGTA